TTTTATAATGGCAGACCAACTGGATAGGTGGTATATTTTATAATGGTAGACCAACTGGATAGGTGGTACATTTTATAATGGCAGAACAACTGGATAGGGGGTACATTTTTTAATGGCAGAACGACTGGATAGATGGTAAATTTTTTAATGGCAGACCAACTGGATAGGTGGGACCTTTTATAATGGCCGACCGACTGGATAGATGGGACCTTTTATAATTGCAGACCGACTGGGTAGATGGTAATTTTATAATGGCAGACAAACTGGATAGGTGGTACACTTTATAATGGCAGACCGACTGGATAGGTGGTACATTTTATAATGGTAGACCAACTGAATAGGTGGTACATTTTATAATGGCAGACCGACTGGATAGGTGGTACATTATATAATGGCAGACCGACTGGGTAAATGGTACATTTTATAATGGCAGACCGACTGGATAGGTGGTACTTTTTATAATGGCAGACCGACTGGATAGGGGGTACATTTTATAATGGCAGACCGACTGGATAGATGGAACCTTTTATAATGGCAGAGCGACTGGATAGGTGATACATTTTATAATGGCAGACCAATTCGATAGGTGGTACATTTTATAATGGCAGACCGACTGGGGAGATGGTACATTTTATAATGGCAGACCGACTGGGTAAATGGTACATTTTATAATGGCAGACCGGCTGGGTAGATGGGACATTTTATAATGGCAGACCGACTGGATAGATGGTACATTTTATAATGGCAGAGCGACTGGATAGGTGATACATTTTATAATGGCAGACCAATTGGATAGGTGGTACATTTTATAATGGCAGACCGACTGGATAGATGGTACATTTGGATAGGTGGTACATTTTATAATGGCAGGCCGACTGGATAGATGGTACATTTTATAATGGCAGAGCGACTGGATAGGTGACACATTTTATAATGGCAGACCAATTGGATAGGTGGGACATTTTATAATGGCAGACCGACTGGATAGGTGGTACTTTTTATAATGGCAGACCGACTGGGTAGATGGTATATTTTATAATGGCAGACCGACTGGGTAGGTGGTACATTTTATAATGGCAGACCGACTGAGTAGATGGTACATTCTATAATGGCAGACCGCCTGGATAGGTCGTACATTTTATAATGGCAGACCGACTGGATAGGTGGTACATTGTATAATGGCAGACCGACTGGCTAGGTGGAACATTTTATAATGGCAGACCGACTGGATAGGTGGTACTTTTTATAATGGCAGACCGACTGGATAGGTGGAACATTTTATAATGGCAGACCGACTGGGTAGATGGGACATTTTATAATGGCAGACCGACTGGATAGGTGGTACTTTTTATAATGGCAGACCGACTGGATAGGTGGTACTTTTTATAATGGCAGACCGACTGGATAGGTGGTACTTTTTATAATGGCAGACCGACTGGATAGGTGGTACTTTTTATAATGGCAGACCGACTGGATAGGTGGTACATTGTATAATGGCAGACCGACTGGGTAGATGGTATATTTTATAATGGCAGACCGACTGGGTAGGTGGTACATTTTATAATGGCAGACCAATTGGATAGGTGGTACATTTTATCATGGCAGACCGACTGGATAGATGGTACATATTATAATGGCAGACAAACTGGATAGGGGGTACATTTTATAATGGCAGACCGACTGGGGAGATGGGACATTTTATAATGGCAGACCGACTGGATAGGTGGTACTTTTTATAATGGCAGACCGACTGGGTAGATGTTACATTTTATAATGGCAGCCCGACTGGATAGGTGGTACATTTTATAATGGCAGGCCGACTGGATAGATGGTACATTTTATAATGCCAGACCGACTGGGTAGATGGTACATTTTATAATGTCAGACCGACTGGATAGATGGTACATTTTATAATGGCAGAGCGACTGGATAGGGGATACATTTTATAATGGCAGACCAATTGGACAGGTGGTACATTTTATAATGGCAGACCGACTTGATAGGTGGTACATTTTATAATGGCAGACCAACTGGATAGATGGTACACTTCATAATGGCAGACCGACTGGATAGATGGTACATATTATAATGGCAGACCAACTGGATAGGTGGTACATTTTATAATGCAGACCGACTGGGTAGATGGTACATTTTATAATGTCAGACCGACTGGATAGATGGTACATTTTATAATGGCAGAGCGACTGGGTAGGTGGTACATTTTATAATGGCAGACCAATTGGATAGGTGGTACATTTTATCATGGCAGACCGACTGGATAGATGGTACATTTGGATAGGTGGTACATTTTATAATGGCAGGCCGACTGGATAGATGGTACATTTTATAATGGAAGACCGTCTGGATAGGTGGTACATTTTATAATGGCAGGCCGACTGGATAGATGGTACATTTTATAATGCCAGACCGACTGGGTAGATGGTACATTTTATCATGGCAGACCGACTGGATAGATGGTACATTTTATAATGGAAGACCGTCTGGATAGGTGGTACATTTTATAATGGCAGGCCGACTGGATAGATGGTACATTTTATAATGACAGTCCAACTGGATAGGTGGTACATTTTATAATGCAGACCGACTGGGTAGATGGTACATTTTATAATCGCAGACCGACTGGGTAGATGGTACATTTTATCATGGCAGACCGACTGGATAGATGGTACATTTGGATAGGTGGTACATTTTATAATGGCAGGCCGACTGGATAGATGGTACATTTTATAATGGCAGACCGGCTGGGTAGGTATATAATTAATGCATTTGAAAGCAAATACATACATATAATATCATGCATACATATAATAGCATACATACATACATATGATAGCATACATAAATATAATAAAATACATAAATATAATAGCATACATATATATACAATATAAAAGCATACAAACATATAATAGCATACATACCTATAATAGCATACGTACATATAATAGCACACATGCATACATACATATATTAGCATACATACATAGATACATATAATAGCATACGAAGATACATAAAATAGCATACATACGTGCATAAAATGCATGTAGCATACATACATATAATAGCATACATACATACAAACATACTTTGCATAGCATAGCAAATCGTAGCATGCATACATATTATAGCAAAGCATACATTCTTTTACATACATACATGGCATAGATTAGCATAGTATATATGGCATACCTACATATACAGCAGAGTCTATCATAAAATAAAATAGCAAAACATACATGGCATATATATAATTAATTATTATAATATATTTACATTTGCATGGCATTGTCACTTTATAGCCTCTTTGAAAGCTGTGTCGTTGATGGGACTTTAACTACCATGCATCACACGAGACAAAATTCTTAGCGTATTAATACAACACTGACCGGAACTACAATATCCAATATATAAGTAAACATGACGGCTGCTGAAATATCGCTGGGCATTGTGAGATTTGACAATGTCATTGTAAATGTATGTGCAAAATAAAAATTAAAAAAAAAAACAACTTTTATTACAACGAAAACAAGACCAAGGTCTGCAATATCGTACAAAATGCACATCGGTTGAAATCACCAATGCCGGCAATGGAAACAATTTTAACGCTCATGCAATTTATCAGAAATATCGTCTGTTACACTGCACTGATCAACAGGGGTTCGTTACAAATGTCTGAAATACACATATTCTATAGACCTACTGACACATATGTTACAGACCTACTGATATGAGTCACAGCACACATAAACAGTTCAGACATTTTGTAACGAACCTGTGCTCCGTCGCAAGATCACTCACTTCAAACGCTATCAGTTTCACGCGTCTCGCATCCACGGTTCCTGATTTCTGACGACATGTCAAATAACGAGGTCGTTATAGCTTCTACCGACTGTTGTCAGGTTTCCATACAATCAACAAATAAATTCACGCCTGGATTCTTCACAAAATGAGCAAAGAGAAAAGTTCAAATTAACTTCCAAAAATAACTCCCTCGTGGAGGGCAAGGTCGGAATCACGGTGTTCACTGTATTTGTCCATGCGAGAAATTTGTTCCGGGGAAAAATCGAAACAATTTCAAATCTAACTTTCAGCTCAGAGTTCTATTGATAAACTTAAATCACCCTATAGACATATCATATGCAATTGTATTGATGCTGAGTTGTGGAATAAAATTGAAGTATTTGTTAAAATTTCAAAGTACTACTTTGTTCGCCAATCAGCACGCGACACTACGCTGTTCAAACTATTGAACGAAATTGTGTGGACTGTCGATAAGGCGGCATTTTTAATTTTAAATATAAATTATAAATTAAAAAAGAACATAAGAGGCGGAGAAAACGTAAATATAAGTATTGAACTGTTTTTGTATGATATTTATGATCTATTTGCGCATTATGTTGTTTGCTTGCAAAGCTGTGTCATTCAAATAGATGATAAATACCATACAAAAGCAGTTCAATGCTTAAATATTAAGCATTGTTTCTAGTTTAGATAAGAATTTGCTTTTTTTGCTGAGCAAGGATAAGTTCTGCTTTCAGATGCGATGCATAGTCAATATGAATGCCAGTTGCAAATATTCCAAACGTGACTGTTCTCTTCAATTCAATTTCAACAAATTTTATTGATAATCATGTATAGGCACATACCACCTTGGCATATATAATAGTATATCCCATTTAGTCGAATTCTATGTAGGGATGAAATCTCTAGATTGGTGACAAGATATAAATGTAGCATAGGCCAATAAATAGTGGTAGTGACCTTGACCTTGACCACAGATAGTTGAAGCTTGAGCACTTTCGATGTACTCTCATACATGATGATTAAATATGGTAATGTCAAAGTCCTTGCAGGGATGAAATTACTGGAGGTGTGATACAACTGTGGACATATACATAGGAATGGAGCACTATATCTCATCACTGGCTGTATCACAAGAGGAGCATGCTATTCATTTATACCTATGTACAATGTACATGTTCCTATATGTCTGTATATGTCATTCAAACGGGTCCATAGAGATTGCCAGTCAATATCATTAATTATATTATTCATTGATTCAAAATCAGCCTCAACATAGTATTGTAGCATGTATGCTTAAATGTGGTATATGATATTTCAATAAATATTGGTGAGTGGTCGCTCCAAAAAGGTGTTTCAACAGCAGTATTTTTAATTAAATTACAATTGTTAGTAAAAACTACATCGATTGCTGTTGAGGTATTTTCTGAAATTCTTGTGGGTTGATTTATTATCCTTTTCAAATTAAATTTAGTTAGGAGTCTTGAGAGAAGTGAATTAGGCTGTATGCTTAACATGTCAACATTGATGTCGCCAGTGATGATAATGTCTGGATTTTTAATCTGTAGCTATGGTTAAATTATCATCCAACTTATTCCAATAGTTTACAATTGAGGCTGGTCTATACATACATCCTAGCAAGAACTTATGACGTTCAACTGTTACTTCAAGTCCATTCTTCTTAGAGTTTAACAGCTTTTTTTAGAATAAATTACTATTCCTCCTCCATAACCTATAGTTCTATCTTTACGATGGGGGATGTTGGTGTGTGAGTCTATTGTTATTGCATTATCTGGTATGCTGTCAGTCAGATGTGTTTCAGTTAGGCATATAACATCAAAGGAATTTAATTCTGCTTCAATGTCTTTTTCTCTGTTCTCTTTTTGGTCACGTTCTTATAACCTATATTCTCAGTTCAGAGTCGGATGACCCGAAACGAATTTAACTAAGTTTACATTATGACATTGCAGTGTAAATGTAAATATTTCATCATATAATCCTTTATCAATCGACAGGACAGTTAATTTGAGAATGGTAATAATACTCTTATGTTACTCTTGCACTTTGTTTTGTCGTCAGTATGAGTGAAGCTGCTCTGGAAAATCTAGAATAAATAAGTATTAGTACGACGTTCACGATATTAATCAAGGTCTTCCCCAGGCCTAAATAGCAGAACCATATCGGGGATATTTCTTCCATTATGTATCCGAACAAAAGAGGACTAAGGAGAGCACCAGTGAACGCTGTCACCATAAAGAAAGCAGTCATTTTGCCACACGCAGGGACAAAATGTTCATTTGACCAACTCAATATACTTGGCCAACCTATACCAAGCGGAATTCCAAGAATACAGACAGATATCCAGATTCCGGCATCCACATATGCAAGGGCGCTTAACGAAAGCCCTAAAAATCCTATTGAACACACTATGGTGGAAAACATGAGAATCGTGAGTGAGTTGAAGTGGTGGACAAGAAATATTCCGAGAATCCTCCCTGTAAGTGTGGCGCCAAATACAACGGAAGTCAGCATAGATCCTGTAGTTTTTGTCCACTGTAAATATTGAACACAAAACACAGTCAAAAAGCCGCTGAATGTGAAGTCAATTGCGTTGAAAACAGCAGCAAATATTCCAACGTTTATCAACTGTAGAACCTTCACAACGACCGGAAGACTTCCAAGGAAACGAAATTCGGCACCTTTAGAGCTGTTTGTGTTAGATGTAGTTGGCCTAAAGAAGAGAACAATGAACGGAATGCCTGCTAAAAAGGCAACACAAGCTGATATAGAATACGCTTTGTACAGGTTTGACTTTGGATTAAGAAAGTTGGTCACATTAGTCTGTAGAACTGTCATAGTATTAGAAACATTGATACTGGATGTTGTTGAAACATCAATGCTATGCATTGTGTGGATAGAAACATTCCATGATGTAGCATTTATATTCGAATAGGATTGTGCTGGAAGTAGGAAGGGTGATGTCACAATGGGAGAAAATAGACCAGACACAGCGAAGGCAGCGTAGAAGATGTTAAGGTACGCGCGGCCTCGAGCTGTCACTCCCCATATGGACACGGCTATAGATATCAGGGCTGAAAATAAACAAATTATTAAACATTAAAATATGTATTTTGTAAATACCCGTCAACACAAATCGTGAAACATACAGAAAAGAGTTATACTATTGGTAAGGGTTAGAAAACAGACATGTGTAATTATAGTTACCTTTTAGGCATGCAAATCTATGACGGAACCGTTTTAAACATCAAATACCAACGAACAAATAGGTCTGATTTAATTAGTAATGAAAAAGAAAGAATATGAGTATGGATATTGTGTAGATGCATAACAAAGGTGCGTGCAAAATAATATGTCTGAATAAACGATACTTGAGAACATGTTATTTGCCAGTATCATCTGTTATACTTTAAACATGATGCTTTTGAAAAACAATATTACTTGCATGAATTAAGACGGTGATAATGTATTGTGTTTGATGTTGCAGTACACATATTATATATGCATTCGTAGAACAATATTGTGGTCATGGAAGTACATCTATCATCACACCACCTGACTTTTTCGGATGAAATCATGCAGTAAAAGTGGAAATGTAATTAAATATTGGTTCAAGATATAGAATGCCTAGAACTGTATCTTGAAAACTGCCTTTGATGAATTATTGAAAATGCCCAAGCGTAATAATGTTTTTAATTGGTTGTCCTTTGTGAAGGATAACCTTTTTTCACTCGGGTTTGGTGATGTTGGTTAAATCAAGATTTTCGTAACATATCTGAGGTTTTACCACTTATTTAACAACGAATTTTTGATCATGCTAGACAAGAACTTTCTGAAATGTTAGAGAATTCACAAAAATGTCACTTGTATAGACATTTAGTAAATACTATAACATTACAACATTATCTATGTAAATATATACCCAAGAAACATAGAATTGCACTAACAAAGATACGTTTGTCTGCACATACATTGCATATTAAAACAGGACGATATAGAAATATTGTAAGGAATGAACGCTATTGTAAAATATGTAATTCTGTAGATATAGAGGACGAATATCATTGTTTGCTTATTTGTCCTATATACCAAGAGCTCAGATCAAAGTGTATACAAATGTATTACTGGAGAAAACCATCTGTTCTTAAGTTAATACAATTACTGTGCTCAACAAATGTAAAAAAAAATAACCAGGTTTAGCAAATATACATATGATGCCACTAAATTGAGGAAGACTATGATATAATGACATTTAAATGAGTCAAATCTTTTGTCCATTCTCCACTGCGTTTTGCAGTGTCTGCCAATGTATTTATATTGTTACATGTACAATGATGAGCTGGAAAGCTTAAAGTTAATAAAGAATATAAAAAAGGGTCACGTGTGGAAATGGTCGTGTTGTTATCCCTTCAGCTGTTCATGCAGAATGTTTGTTTTTTGTTTGTTATAGTTCTGAAATCGTTATATTCTGTTTATCTATAATCAAAAAGTAAATATTTGCGTGTGGATATTTTGCGCAAATTTACCTAATGCAAAAAGCGCGAACATTTCCACAGCGGGACAATAAAATCGTTTAAGCACGATGGAGCCTAGGTCCATTTATGCTTATAGCATGGCCTCTGGTTTTGAAAAACCACCTTATTAACAGGATCTCTCAAGATGTACATCATATTTTGAAACCAACTTTTGTAGGGATGTGTAGTTATAGACAAGGACGGAACTGATACAATCTGTATTTTTAATGAATTAAAATACATTTCATTCCTTCTTTGTTTATATTAATTATGATTGCCATGCGCAATGCATTACGGGTAATATATGTCACCGACTCCTCCACTTGGAGACAAAGAAGTATGATATGCATACATAAAAAAGTACAGTGGCCATTCTAATTTTACATGTACAGCGTTTAAACATTATGAAGAATTAAATCACGATTATCTACAATGGAGATCCTGAGCTGTTCGGGGCCCAGAGCTATTATCATAGGGTCAGTTGTGTACAAGCTGAATGTTACTCATATAGGTTTTGGGTAAGATCCGTAATGAACTGCATTTCCCCATGGAAATGCCCGTACAGCACTTGGTTTAAACCGTCAACGCCGATAAGCATGGTCATCTGTTTTAAGTCACATGTTATCTAAATACCTCACGCAGGTGAAATTTATGAATCAACTCATGCGCCATACGTCAACATCAGGTTATATAAATTCGACATCACATAGGGTATGTCAAAAACGTGTAAAGCGCATACGCGTGCAAGCTAAAAAAGTAAACTAAAAATGGTGAATTTATTTAAACAAATGTCATTGATTGTTGCGGAGAAGTAGGAACACATCTATATTATGATATTCTGATTTCTTATAGTAAAGTCCTCCATATATGCAGAGACGTAAATATTAGAATATACGTCTCTGATATATGATGTAAAGTAAACGTAATATTACATTCAAGAACGGAAGTCCGTGATTCAAGTAAATTAACCAAGTAATGTTTTGAAACATAAACGTGTACCAAGTAAGTCCAATCAGAGACATATATTGTTCTGGCTTTGTACACATAATGAAAACAAAACAATGTTCAAAAGTGTAAACAGACCAGTGATAGCCCCGAGTTTCATCTGGCCCGAACACCGGACTTAGACATTTTGACACATAATGTCTGGTGTGGGGCCTATATGAAAACGTGGAATTCTCTGACACCGTTTGGAAGATTTCCGGACAGCGCCTTTTTGTTGATTAGTCACTCCCCGATTCCCCAACGATGTCGGATAATTCCACGTTTTCATATAACAGTGCGCTCTGGCCCCACACCAGACCACATCTTTATGTCAGAATGTCTAAGTCTGGTGTTAGGGTCACAGGAACTCGGGCTAAGACCAGCGGGTGATGTGCGTTTGATTGGCATGCGGAAATGTTTAACATGGTTTGTTGACGCCACTACAAATTTCGTAATCTGTCCTCTGAAGGTATAATCACAGACTTGACCTCTAATCTAAGTTTAAGCTAGGCCCTGTTGAGGGGGACTGTCGAGCTATCTAATTAATCCATTTTCTTGTTAACATTTTATTCGTATTTTCTGTACTATATCATGCTGCACTCGATCCCAAGGACATCCTCTGTATTATAATCACGGGTCCGCAACTGATTTGAGACCAATTGTCACGTCAACTTAATCCTAATGTGCGATACATTTTAATGCAGAGGGTATAATTTATATTCTGATGCCAAGTTAATAAGTTACTGATTATGTAACTTAATATGTATCATGTGTTATTTATATCTGTTTTAATAAAGTTTAGTATGAGTCCGGTTTTCTTTATACCTGTATAATGTATAAATAAAGTGTTTTTACGCGTCAATCTGATGCTCCTCACGGATATCAGGAATGAGGAAGATTATTAAAATTTGTTTTCAGTCCCATTAAAATATAATATTTTGACCACTAATTACCTAAACCATCGTGTTTGGAGTCCATTGGCCTCCTGTTACTGTACATGATGGTACATACAACGTTAAATTGCAATATTATTGTTTGCAAGAGTTTACATGAAATATTATTAACGGAACATGCATGCCCGATGTAATTATTTAATTGTTTTGTGCTGTATTAAAAAACAAACACACCAAACAAAAACCAGACACCAAAACCCCCAACATAGCAAAACCTACCAACTGCCAGTAATCCTCCAGCTAATCCATGCAAGAAATGCACAACAATCATCAGTTCATACGCCGTGCACCACGGAATAACTGCAAACATGGCGCTGTTGCCCGTCATTGCGATACCTAGTAGCATATATGTGTTGACCTTTGAGTAAAGAACACCACACAATAAGGATCCTACCACACGCCCTACAAAGTATGCTGTTATAAAGGCCGATCCCGTCTCGAGGTCAGCACCAGAAATAGTCATGATGTCGAGAAAAGCTGGTCCAATCTGACCTTTAGACCATCCCTATTGAAAACAATAAATGACAGACACATATATCATAGAATATATACAGTATAACATTATCTTATCACGACACATACAATATTTTAATAAGCAGGTGGTGTCCGTTATTGTTCTAGGTTTTTATTTATAGCTTTAATATTCCAGATGATTTTTGCAGTGTCTCGTTTTGTCCCCAGTATTCCAATGCCAATGGAATTCTCAACATGGAAGTGTTTTTTTTACGTAAATAACTCGATGTTGTGATGTAACCCACGTTATAATTACAATAAGATCGAATTTCATTTAACCAAAATGCAGCGTAAGTATCATTTAATCGCTCACTCTTTATGCAAGTAAAAGTAGTAAAATTTGATTCGTTATATACATTGTAGTTAGTGTGAGACGATATATTTCATCTTAAACATCAGAGTTGATAATCTTGAAATGTGATAAATTCACAAATTAAACTGTCATTTTTAGTTGAAGGTTACACTTTATACAAACCAGCACTCCAAAGGCGAACGCCACACACGTACTCAGAACAACCTGGCATTGTGTTGACCTGTTACTTCGTAGCTCAACCAGAAACGGTGGGCCGTGTATGGACGATGTAGTTGATTCGCCATCCTCATCCTCATGCTTGCTTTCGGAGTCGTGTCCGCTTGTGTTTTGTAGTGGAGTCGACTCATGTTCGGCACACCTATCTGTTTGTCGTTCGTTAGACATTTCTGTAGAGATACTTAATATATATATATAATATATATACAACATTTGATATAGCGCCCTATCTAGCTAACATAAGCCACTCTAAAGCGCTTTACAGTACATAGATAAACAATTAATACACTAAGCATATACGTTAATCAATACAATTTTAGTGGAATTCTCAGGAGCTGCCTTATCAGGCGCTAACTACTAGGCCTATGCCACCTGGCTAATATCTCTCTATGCGTGTATGCCTGCGTGTGTGCTGGAGATGTAATGTGTTCTGTTTGTAGTGGGACCTTGCTTCCAATGGCATCATTTATAGTGTGCCATCTCACTTGAATGCTACAGCACAGATACCACAACATCCACCCCAGACCAATTTATACTCAATGAGGGTAATAGCACATTTATAGTCCCCCGAGATGAAAAATTATTTCCCGAGGCGGCGAAATTTCAGAGAGAAAAAACACAATTGGAAGTACTGTACATGTATGAATCGTCGTTGATGATATCTTCATTTCTAGCTTTCAAGAAGTTTTTTTTTTATAGACTGTATATCATGGTCACCATTGTTTTCCTACCATATCTAGTCCCATCCACTTTTTTAAGTTCTGCATAAAACATGCGTTGTCACACGTTCACCTCCTCTGAACTTGCTTGACCCTAATCGTTAACGCTTCCGATATTCCGTTCTTTTAAATAAGTTTGAAGTGAATTCACTGCAGTCTTTACAACAGCTTTTGTATTTAAGCTACGTTTAGCGTCCAAAATCTGCTGTAACTCCTCTTTACAGCAACAAAACGGCCGTCATCGGTGGCCAATTATCACTGTTGTCATTTGGTTCTGAAAATGTGACGTCACGAGCGGCACGGAGAAGGCCCCACCTACCAATGTTTTCATTGGTTGAAATCGTATAAGCTCCGCCTACAAATATTCATGAGGGTGCTGTCCTATTTCTGGCAGGGAGTAGTCTTTTTTTGGCAGGGTGTAGTCCTAATTTGAGGAGGGAGTAGCTCTCAGATGGAGATAATAATGAAAGTTATTGAAGCCGTGCGAACTAATTATTTTAAAGACTTGTACACAGTAAACCACATTTTACATGTTGTAATTGATTAACAAGCATTGGATTTTTTTTATATTTGGTTTATGTGCTAGCAAACTAAATCTGCATAATTTATATATATATATTGAGTTTTATGTGTAGTAAGATGACAGTGCAAAGTGTGTATATATTGATATTGTTCTTGTATTTAGTAAGATGATAGCGCTTCTGAAGCTACTGTATACACAGTGATGTACTGGCTTATGCTCTAGGTGTATTGTGTCCAGCGTGCACGTGGGTCAGTAAGTCTTACATGTATATATTAATATTCATAAACGGCTATGGCGGGTTGCTATGCCTATTTCTCCAAAACTATGATCCGCTAGTACGCGCGTCCAACCGTGCACTGTACATGTTATGACGCGTCATCGGGTATTTGTATACAGGTAGCGCTATCGAAATCCCGTGTCAAAGAATAGATTATTGTACACAGACGAATTTAAGGCCATGGCTATTAATACATGCGTTTCACAATAAAGACTCAACGAAATGCTCATTTTACGTTATGCTGCATGAAACACAAGATCGAATACTGAATATCTCAACAGTTCAAAAATTCATATTCAATTGATTTTATATCTATTCCATGCATTTTCGCTATTAAAATTATTTACTTATCAATAAAAAAAATCGTTTTCAAAAATGCAAACTTTTCCGCCATAGCTCTTGGAGGTTTATCTGTATCAATATATGCTCGTCCAAGGTCAAGGTAAGCCTCAATACTATGGCTGATCTAAGCGTGATTTATCGTAGTGATATCAAGAGTTTGTCTTTAAGGATTTCTTACCGTTCAATTTGTCTTTTTTAATTATCAACATGACTGTTGGCGAATACTTATTTAGTAGGGGTGTCACAATACGCGAAGAGTGTATCACGATATATCGCAATACAGAATGAATATATTGCGATATGAATACCGATAACTTGTCATAGGAAGGATGTGCTCAATTTTATAATAAGTTGATGTCAGAATGTTATCAAACTTAATCATATATAATATGGGTAACATAGATTCAAGATCTTTGTCAAACCAACCATCAATTACAAAATTTGAACTATTAAAAGCCTGTTTTATGCTTATTGGCATATCTGTTAGAATTTTTAGTAATTTGCAAAGTTAAAACAACAAGCAGATACATAAAAATATGCTTTTGTAAAATATTGCGATACAGCAATAGTTTATCTCTGTATTGTGTTACGATACGATATACCTGTGTATTGCGATATACCTGTTACCCGATATATTGTGACGGCCCTAATATTAAGTGTTCAGTATTATAGCAGTATAGCCGATACTCTACATATGTTATAACTTCATGAAAATTATATTGTTTAATTCTCATTCATTTCATTCAATATTGGTGAACAATTAATCGGTAACAGTTAATAATTTTAGCCTTTTTGATAAGCATTTCCATTACCCTAAAATAAAAATTATAAAACATTTCCAGTTTTCCGAATTCCGCTTGATTCTAGCATTTTGGATTATTTGCCTCAATGCATTCAACAGAAATTAACATAATTCAACGATGAAACTCACCTAATAGAGTTGTGTTGTCAAGCCAAAGGTATATACTATCTCCTTTGGTTATGTTATGGATATTCTACTGGTTAAATGATCTTTCATATCCGCGAGATCATTACTGTAACAGCTGCACACTAAATTCAACATGATTGCGTGAAGTGTTAATGCAAAACTCTGCGTAGACCTAGCGACAGGTTGTGTATATTTGAAATAGCGATTGTCGACTTCGACTTTAGATAAAGTCTGGTGTAGTGACGATATGGTAAACTGTGTTCTAATCACTTGCCATATGTACACTTCAGTATATTCCCATACAGCTGACTACTACTCATCCAAAACGGAGGCACGTCGTCTACACACAACACTGGGCACTAAGAAAACAATACTATCAGGGACTGAATTAAAGACGCTCAACTTATTTGCATTAAACTACAAACTAGTACACTGTACAGCGTAACTGAAAGGACTCATAGACTTGCCAAATGATATTTCAATTGTTACCACAAAAATAAAAACGACAAGTTTTGAGTCCAAATGAGGTTCAGTTAACTTTCTAGCAGTGATACAATAAATACAAGCTGTAACTATAGGATTTATTTACATCGAATAACTGAAATCAAGACCATTAAACAACGCTACAAACGCTACCAAAACAAACTGTTTCTGGCTGATAAAACAAAGTTGCATCATGCAATCTTACAAAGCTACATGTGTACACCAGTCTTCCAAAACACAACTCTATCACGCTAAAAAACAAGGTTCATAGGGCTACCAAAACAAGTCATTCCATTTTCGGTCCGGATCAGACAGTTTGATGATTAGTCACTCCCATAATCTACAAAATGGCGTCGCTCAGGTGGACATTTTTGAACAATCGAAAACCGCACTCTACTGACGGAATATAACAGTTGTTCATGATAATTTGGGCGGTTTTAGATCAATAAATAACCCATTTATTGATATATGTAGGTACAGCTTATGTGTTATACCAGTTTTTCCTCAAAACTTTGGGCTACGGTGTCGGATAATACCATCTCTTCCTCTCTTGCCCAACACCGGACGTCTATATTGTCAAAATGTGTTAAATTTAGTGTAAGGCCCACAGGAAACTCGGATTATACTTCAGCCAGGACCAATACAGGCCATTTGTTTGGCGAAATTAAACAGTTAATGTGACCGTCCACTGTATGCATGTCATCACAGGGGTTCGTTACAAACGTCTGAAATACACACGCTACTGTATTGATGTGTGCTGTGACCCATATAAGTATAGCATCGGGGCTCTCCCCGGATTTCTTTTAAGCTGATATGTTTCATTTTCAACGGACGAACAAGACGGGCACAGCACTATAGCATGCTCAACAATTTCATATCAAATTAGGGGGGGG